GAATATCTCAGGGTTGGAAGGGGCCTCAGGAGGTCATCTTTTTGTTCCTAATAAGCTTCTTTTTATTATCCTTAATTCTGCTAGCCACAGATTTCTCTTTGTGTCCATTTGCTTCCCTTATCAATTTTCTGCAATTCCTAACTTCTGATTTATATTCGTTACTATCAACATCCCCTTTCTTCCATTTGTTTGAAATATTTCCTTTTTTTATTGCTGCCTTTTCTTCTCCACTAATCCCCGGGTAGTTTTTTAACCAATTTGGCATTCTTCCTAAATTGTGGGATTGTGGCTTTTTGGGCATCTAGTAAAGTGTTCTTAAACAATTCCCAGCCTTTCCTTACCAGAGCAAGTTTCAATATTATGGGAACAGATGTCTTCAGAGTGAGCAAGGGAGCTGGCAGCCTTACAGGTAAGTAATGCAGGGGTCCCCAGCTCAGTATTTCACACTCTACCAGATGACAGCACTGCAGAGTGCTGGATAGGAAGTGGGGGGACATCCTAGTCAGGTACTAAAGGTACCAACCAATTGTGTTACCAGGGAAGATGGCATATGTCAATGCCAAAATACTGTAGAGCTCTCCCTCAACAGCCTACTAAATCTTTTTGGAAAGGCTCATGCAGCCTTTGCAACTCAGAACTTCACTGCAGCTTACACGGTAGGAGGTGTCCAATAAGGAAGGATCCAAAAGTGTCTGTGATAACCAAATAAGGGATGACTTACAGAAGAAAAGACACAACTACCATGCAGTTTGCCTTCCAGCAGAAGAGATATCAAAAGATGATCATCCACCCATCAGATCTCTTAGGCTTTGAACAGTCTCCTGGGGAAAATGGTGAAGACCCATCATTTTGAACATTTACTACTAGACTAGATAAAACTCTAGAAAATGTACAATAGGGTGCAGTCCTGCACCTGCCACAGATGATAAGCTGTGTGGGATCTAATAATAGTGTTTCTCCAGCATTAACTTCTCATTCTGTGGGCAAGAATGGCCTATGCTTCCAAGATCTCAGAAACAAAACTAGATTTCCCTGTATGGCCCTTGTTGAGTTGGCACTGTTAGAGGACTAGCTGGAGAAACTGAATGAGCCGATTCAAAGTCATGATGATATCTGCTCCATAGGACTCCTTAATTTGGGTCACACTACTAGTCTGAGCTATGAAATTCCTAATGGATCAGATCTTAATATGCTAGCCTCACCAGAGGAATCTCTAGCTAATTATCATGAAGTAAGGTAGCAGTGTAACTAGGTACCTTTCAAGCTACAGATCCCTTTGCCTGGTTCCACAGTCACCCAGTGTATCGCCTAGGTGGATCAGAATTTTTGACCCTATTCTCATATTCTCTGTTGATATAATTATCTTTGTGAGACAATCTGAAGAACATAGAGACAGGCTAGAGTTAATGTCAGAAGAATCAGTGGAGCCCTGGCCTCTCACTCTTTCTGCACTGCATCAAGTTTGTGTGTGTACCAGCAGCTGCAGGAAACAGGGGAGCCTGACTAACATGTGAGGGGAGCTTGACCCAGGCCAGGTGATGATGGCCACAAAATACAGTTCTGTATCTCTTCAGCCCTGTTGTGTATGTGAACATGGCGTGTGCATGCATGTGTGTGTTGGCAAGCACGTATGTGTGGTGTGCATGTGTGTGTGTGTGCACACCTGGCTGCTGTCCATGGCAGTGAGCATGTTAGTGAAGGCACCTTACTATAGGAGGGAGAGGAAAAGTTTATGAGCAGAGACTGATATTTTCAGCTTTCAGGGGAGTCATGTTCAGGTACTTCAGTCAGAGGATGTGCCTCCTTTGTGCAGGGCACTACCCGGGACGAGTGTCCCCTGTCCTGTCTATGGTCTAGCTCAGGGTTTTCAAACTTTTTTCTGGCAACCTAGTTGAAGAAAATTGTTGATTCCTGTGCCCCAGTGGAGCTGGAGATGAGGGGTTTGGGATGTGGGAGGGGTTCAGGGCTCGAGCAGAGGGTTGAGGTATGGGGGTGAGGGCTGAGGGATGGAGTCGGGAATGAGGGGTTCAGGGTGTGGAAGGGGCTCTGGCCTGGGGCAGGGGGTTGGGGTGTGGGAGGGGGTCAGGGCTCTGGGCTTGGGGTGGAGACTCTGGGCTGGGGATGAGGGGTTTGGGGTGCAGGAGGGGGCTCCAGGTTTGGGGGGGCTCAGGGCTGGGGCAGGGGATTGGGGTGCAGTAGGGGGTCAGGGCTCTGGGGTGGGGCAGGGGATGAGGGGTTTTGGGTGCAGTAAGTGGCTTTGGGTTGGGGGGGGGGGCTCAGGATTGGAGCAGGGGATTGGGGCATGGGGTTGGGGAGTGGACTTACTTCAGGCAGCTCCCAGTCAGCGTTGCAGTGGGGTCTTCCTGCCTCTTCTGGCACCACGGACCACACTGCGGCCCAGAAGTGGCCAGCAGCAGCTCCAACTCCTAGGCGGAGGCATGCAAGCGGCTCTCACGTGCAGGCACCACCTCCCCACCCCCCAGCTCCCATTGGCTGGGAACCAATGGAAGCTGGTGCTTGAGGCAGGGGCAGCATGCGGTGCAGGGGCATGTGCAGAGCCTTGTGGCCCCCCAACCTAGGAGCTGGCTGCAACCCAGTGCCTTACATTCCGTGACCCAGTACTGGGTCACAACCCGCAGTCTGAAAACCACTGGTCTAGCTCACTCCTTGCACTCTGATCCCCTGCTGAGAACTGAATATCTCAGAGATCAACAACATAGTGGGGTCTAAATTATCTCCCTCTGCTGGCTAGTCAAGGGGTCTCTCCAATAGCATGCTGACAGCTTTGCTGGAGCTGAAACTGACCTGAACAGGATTAATCATCAAGAAGGGAAAAAGAGTCCAGAATAGTCAGAATCCCAGAGGCTAAAGGCAGTTGCAGGTCTAACTAGCCAGAGGAAGGACTGTGTGGCTAAAGCACAGGGCCAAGATTCTGTTGCTGACACTGCAGCCTGACCATGTCACCTCCTCTTGCTGAGCCTCAGTTTCCCCACCAAAATCTTCCCTGGCAGATGCCATATGCTGTCAGTGGGAACTCTACTCTGCTGCTTGTTTCAGCCTTCTGTGAGTCCCCATCTGTCCCTTGTTCTCTCTCTCCTTCCTTCATCTCCTCCTCTGTCCAGCTCCAGTCTCTCCTCCTTTCCTATTCCCTCCTCTGTTTTCACACGGCCTTCATCCTATCCAGAACACTGTCATTATTGATGACACTCAGTCATTGCTCACCCAACTGACACGGTGTCATATCAGAATTCTCCTCACAGGTCCCTCAACAGTCCCTTCCACTCACCCAGCTGTTACCTGAGGGTTATTACACAGCATACGCAAGAGATCCCAAGAACCCCATCAGCCAGGCCCCAGACCTCCCCTTTCTCCCTTTTTTCCAGGCTGAATGTTTTTCCTCTTTGGGAGGAAGTGGTCTGTATGAAATTCCCACAGATAGAGGGGGAGCTTTATGCCATTTTAGCACATCCTGGATTCAGGGGCCACTTCAGTCCTAGAGATTGCTCTAACTTGGTCTGGCTGCTCCTGCTGGGTTCATTGAGCAGCCCAGAATAGCTGGAGCATAGTGCACTCCAGCCATATCCTCTCAGACCCCTGTCCCAGAAACTGATAAGGAGGGATTTGAGGCACATTCCACCAGGCCTTTGCCACCATGCAATCCCCATCACACCAAGGGTATTCCCAGTGGAGAGATCTAGTGGCTTTCCAACCCCCTAGGCTGCCTGTGGGCCCCCCCCCACAGGCTTTGGCCACAGCAAGTGCCCAGCAATGTGCTCGCGCAGATGCCCTTTATCTACCCTGTCCCAAGTAAGAGAACCCCTGTTTATTTCCATCTCTCCCAGCACTAGGAAAATTCACAACGACAATTTTCCTGCCCTGCTCTTTCCCAAAGGTTTCTCTGCAGCTTAATGAGAGGCCTCATTTCAGAGGAAAACTCCTGTATGTCAGAATGCAGACGGCAGAGTAAGGAAGGTATTGGGCACATGGCCAGAGCCTGGGCAGGAGGAGGCAACTTAGCCTGACAGAAGATAGCCTGGGGAAGTGGTTAGTTGGAGACAGACAGACCCCTGGCACTCGGAGGGCCAAAGACAGTGCCCATGCCATGCCTGAGATGGAGAAGAGGCAGATGATCTGCGGTGGGAGCGAAGAAACATTTTTGATGGGACCATAAAAAAAGAGTTAGGCTGTTATGGCGAACAAACTCAATGGAAAGCCCTGATGCCTTTGGGTTTGCCACAATCATACTGCACCATGTCCCCTCTTCTTCCAATGTCTATTGTTATCCCAAGGTTGGTCCTTTTGTATTCTCCCTCTCTGCCACTATAAAGGCTCCCATGGCTTCAATATCCACCTCTACACCAAGGAATCCCATAGGCCCTCTCCACTCCATCTTGTTTCTACCCCAACTGCTCCTCTGAGTCTGTTTAAACAAGAGTCTGGGACCCAGTTTTAACATATAACATATAACTGTACATGCTAGTCTAGACACTCCCCTGGCCTTTGTTCCAAGACACAAAGAGTTGTGATTTGCCCATGGGCTCAGTCACAAACTGTATCATAGAATCATAGAATATCAGGGTTGGAAGGGACCTCAGGAGGTCATGTAGTCTAACCCCCAAGATCTCCCCTCCAACTATCCTCCATGATGTTCTACTGACAACTCAAATCAAAGCCTTCTGGTTCCCCTTCTTCCTGTGCCATATCAGCCCCAGGCATCCCTTTAACTCCTTTACTCCTACCTCTAAAGTCCTGTTTTCTCCTTTCTTCCTCTCCAGTGACCACCTTTCTGAGCCCCTTCTCATCCTTGGTGGTCTCTTGCCTTCAGAACTGTGACTTTCTCTGGCCTCCCTGCCTCACGCTGTCCAAGGCTGTCCCAACATGGCTACTAACCCTCCCACCTATCCCTCCTCCATGGGATGCAGATTTGCAAGGCTTTGAAGTGCCTGCACCAAGACAATCTGCAGGAAGGAGGCTGACATGCATGCAGCAGGCTCTCTTACCGTTCTCAGGGTGCTCCATCTCCCCAATACTACCGTCGGGTGTGGTGCGCTCATAATGATCCTCAGGAAGAGCTAGTGGCCCAATCCGGGGCCCTGATGAGGACTTGCTGCTGGGCGTCTCTGACTCTTCTAGCCCGCTGTCATAGTAACTATGTTGAGAGGGGTCCTGCAAGTCCTGTGCCTGATTAGCTGCAGAGAATGTCACTCGGCGATGAGGTAACTGCAAAGCAGAAAAGAAGAGATAAGAGGGGATACCAGCCACCCACAGGGAGTGATCAGGACTGGTTATGAAACCTGACCTCCCCAGCAAAGCACTGAGGACAAAGAACCACAGCTTTCTCTTGACCCTAAGCCCTGCCAACTGAAAAAAATCTTTCATTTCATGAGCCCCCCAATGGACAACATCTCCAACCTCAGAGTATCCCCACTCCCCTCCCAAAAAAAAGTGTCACCTCCCCTCATCTCAGGTGTCTCCCCTTGACTGACACCATCACTCACCTCAGGGGTCTTTCCGGTTTTCACCAAAGAAATCTGCCCCCCAACAGACATGATCTCTCACCTCAGAGTCCACCCTCCAATTTACACCATCTCAGAAACACCCCACCACCCAACAGACATCATCTCCTATTTCAGAGCTCCATGGAATCACCCCCTCACCTCCCTTACTACCATATCACCTCAGAGAACCCCCAATTGACATAATCTCTTACCTCAGAACCGTCCCTGACTAGCAGTCCTCCAGCTAACATCATCTCTCATCTCACAGTCCCACACAGGAATTACATTACACCAACTCTTATCTCAGAGCCAACTCCTTCCACAACAGACACAATCTCCAACTCAGAGGAACCCCAGCAGAGTTCCACAGAACAGGGTGCCAGAACTGCCTGATCTTTGACTACCCAGCTGACACAATCTCACACCTCAAAGTCCCATTCACACCTGACACCACCTCTAACCTCAGGGGTCTTCCCTCAACTAAAACCATCTCTCATCTCAGAGACCCTGATTGACATAAACTCATAGACTTTAAGGCCAGAAAGGACCATCATGATCATATAGTCTGACCTCCTTCACTTCAGAGGCCACAGAAACTCACTCACCCACTCCTGTGATAGGACCATAATCTCTGGATGAATGCTGGAAGTCCTCAAATCTTGATTTAAAGACTGCAAGTGACAGACAATCCATCATTTACTCTACTTCAAACCAGCAAATTAAGAGTGCCCTATGATACAAAGGAAGGCAAAAAAACCCCAGGGTCTCTGCCAATCTAACCTAGGGAAACACTCCTTCCTGACCTCAAATATGGGGATCAGTTAGACTCTGAGCCTGTGAATGCAACCCACCAGCCAGACACCTGGGAAAGAATTCTTTATACTCAGAGCCCTCCCCAGTGTCCCAATTCCAGCTGTTGGAAATATTTACTGATCTCTTACCTCAACCCGCACTGACACCAACACCCATCTCAGAGTCCCCCAAGTGATACCAACTCTTACTTCAGTGCAAACCTTACTATTGATACCATCTCTTACCGTAGAGCAACCCTTCCTGACTGCTACCAACTCTCTCCTCAGAGCAACCTTGCGATTGATACCAACCCTCACCTCAGTGCAATCCTCCCCTGATACCAACATTCAAATCAGAGGGCACCCCGGATTGACACCACTTCTCACCTCAGTACAATACCCTTGATCGATTCCAACTCTCACCTCAATGCAACCCCCAGCTGACACCAACTCACACCTCAGAGTAACCCCCCAATTTATACCAACATTCACATCAGAGGGCACCAACTGATACCACCTCTCACCTCAACACAATCACCTTGATTGATTCAAACTATCACATCAGTGCAATTCCCCTCCATCCCAATCGATACCAACTCTAACCTGAGCACTACCCCCTGATTGACAGCAACAGTCACATGAGAGAAATCCCCAGGATTTATACCAACTCTGACCTTGGAGCAACTCCCCAATTAATACCAACTCTCAACTCAGAGAAACCGCCCTCATTTATGCCACCCCCTCTCAGTGCAACCCCACATTTCACACTAATTCTCATCTTAGGAGAACTGCCCCCCCCCACTTGATACTAACTCTGACCTCAGAGCAACCCTTCTGATTTACACCACCTCTCACCTTACAGCAGGCCCCTGATTGACTCAAACTTTCATTTCAGAGCAACCTTCCAATTGATATTAACTCTCATCCCAGCACAACCCCAAAATGATTTAAATTCTCGCCTCATTGCAACCCCCTTGACTGATACCAGTTCTCCCCCCACCCCGATTGACAGGAACTCTGAACACTGAGCAACCCCTATAATTGATACCAACTATCACCTCAGAGAACACACACCCAGCTGACATCAACTATCACAGCAGAGTAACACACAACCCCAGTTGGTACCAACTCTCACCTCAGATTAACCCCAACTGACATCAACTCTCAGCTCAGAGCAACCCCCGGATCATTAAAACTATCACCTCAGCACAACCCCCCCACAGATACAAAAATCTCACAGCAGAGAACCCCCCTGCCCCAATTGATACCACCTCTCACATCAGTACAACCAACTTGATCGATGCCAACTTTCCCCTCATCACAGCCCCCAATCAATATCAGCTCTTACCACAGAGCAACCTCCTGAATGATACCAATTCACAATTCAGAGAAACCCCCCACAATTTATACCAACTCTTACCTCAGAGCAACCCCCCGATTGTCACCAACTCTCACCTCAGCACAATCTCGTCCCCATTGATACCAACTCTGATCTCAGTGTAACCTCAGCCACTGATACCAATTCTTACTTCAGAGTGCTCCTCCCGATTGATAACACCTGTCACCTAAGCGCAACACCCTCAGTAGTGCTTAGGTGACAGGTGTTATAAGAAGTATAAAAATATTGCTCAGGCATGCAGGAAGGCCAAATCACACTTGGAGTTGTAGCTAGCAAGAGATGTTAAGAGTAACAAGAAGGATTTCTTCAGGTATGTTAGAAACAAGAAGGTCAGGGAAAATGTGGGCCCCTTACTGAATGGGGGAGGCAACCTAGTGACAGAGGATGTGGAAGAAGCTAATATACTCAATACTTTTTTTGCCTCTGTCTTCATGAACAAGGTCAGCTCCCAGATTACTGCACTGGGCAGCACAGTATGGGGGAGAGGTGACCAGTCCTCTGGAGAAAGAAGTGGTTCAGGACTATTTAGAAAAACTGGATGAGCACAAGTCCATGGGGCCAAATGCACTGCATCTGAGGGTGCTAAGGGAGTTGGAAAATGTGATTGCAGAGCCATTGGCCATTATCTTTGAAAACTCATGGCAATCAGGGGAGGAGCTGCATGACTGGAAAAAGGCTGATGTAGTGCCCATCTTTTAAAAAGAGGAGAAGAAGGAGGATGTGGGGAACTACAGGCCAGTCAGCCTTGCCTCAGTCCCTGGAAAAATCATGGAGCAGGTGCTCAAGGAATCAGTTTGAAGCACTTAGAGGAGAGGAAAGTGATCAGGAACAGTCAGCATGGATTCACCAAGGGCAAGTCATGCCTGACTGATCTAATTGCCTTCTATGATGAGATAACTGGCTCTGTGGATGAGGGGACAGCAGTGGACGTGTTATTACTTGACTTTAGTAAAGCTTTTGATACGGTCTTCCACAGTATTCTTGCCAGCAAGTTAAAGAAGTATGGGCTAGATGAATGGACCATAAGCTGGATAGAAAGCTGGCTAGATCATTGGGCTCAACGGGTAGTGATCAATGGCTCCATGTCTAGTTGGCAGCCGGTATCAAGCGGAATGCCCCAAGGGTCGGTCCTGGGGCCGGTTTTGTTCAATATCTTCATTAATGATCGGGAGGATGGCCTGGATTGCACCCTCAGCAAGTTTGCAGATGACACTAAACTGGGAGAAGTGGTAGCTATGCTGGAGGGTAGGGATAGGATACAGAGGGACCTAGACAAATTAGAGGATTGGAAGTGATCATTCCCCTCTATTTGGCATTGGTGAGGCCTCATCTGGAGTACTGTGTCCAGTTTTGGGCCCCACACTACAAGAAGAATGTGGAAAAATTGGAAAGAGTCCAGTGGAGGGTAACAAAAATGATTAGGGAGCTGGAGCACATGACTTATGAGGAGAGGCTGAGGGAACTGGGATTATTTAGTCTGCAGAAGAGAAGAATGAGGGGCAATTTGATAGCTGCTTTCAACTAGACTCATAGAATATCAGGGTTGGAAGGGACCTCAGGAGGTCATCTAATCTAACCCCTGCTCAAAGCAGGACCAATCCCCCATAGTTGCCCCAGATCCCTAAACGGCCCCCTCAAGGATTGAACTCACAACCCTGGGTTTAGCAGGCCAATGTTCAAACCACTGAGCTATCCCTCCCCCCCCATCATAGACTTTAAGGTCAGAAGGGACCATTATGATCGTCTAGTCCAGGGGTCTCAAACTCAAATGACCACGAGGGCCACATGAGGACTAGTGCTTTGGCCCTCACTGACACACCCCCCTTGCCCCCGGCCCCGCCCCCCCTCCACCTCTTCCATGAGGCCCCACACCTGCCCTGCTTCTTCCCACCCTGTCCCGCCCCCATTCCAACCCCTTCATAGAATATCGGGGTTGGAAGGGACCTCAGGAGGTCATTTAGTCCAACCCCCTGCTCAAAGCAGGACCAATCCCCGACTAAATCATCCCAGCAAGGGCTTTGTCAAGCCTGACCTGAAAAACCTCTAACGAAGGAAATTCCACCACCTCCCTAGGTAACGCATTCCAGTGTTTCACCACCCTCCCAGTGAAAAAGTTTTTCCTAATATCCAACCTAAATCTCACCCACTGCAACTTGAGACCATTACTCCTTGTTCTGTCATCTCCTACCACTGACAACAGTCTAGAGCCATCCTCTTTGGAACCCCCTTTCAGGTAGTTGAATCCCCCCTCATTCTTCTCTTCTGCAGACTAAACATCCCCAGTTCCCTCAGCTTCTCCTCATAAGTCATGTGTTCTAGTCCCCTAATCATTTTTGTTGCCCTCTGCTGGACTCTTTCCAATTTTTCCACATCCTTCTTGTAGTATGGGGCCCAAAACTGGACACAGTACTCCAGATGAGGCCTCACCAATGTTGAATAGAGGGGAACAATCACGTCCCTTGGTCTGCTGGCAATGCCCCTATTTATACACCCCAAAATGCCATTGGCCGCCTTGGCAACAAGGGCACACTG